CACAAAAATATGAGCTTCTAAGCCCCAAACCATAATCTTAAAATATAAAGCATAGCTCACTTTCTTTGAATTGTACCCAAGGATTGCAGAACATAAAAACTGCCACATAAAAGCCCATTTTTTTCAGTTATACATACAGGATTCTAGAAATATATATTATAAAAATATTTTACTTAAGTATACAGTAAAATATATTAAAAAGTAATCAACAAAACAGTTACAAAATCCTCTATCTTGAGAAAATATTGGAGCAACCTCTAGATACAAATGACTGCTCTCTGCTATGTCATTCACTCAGTTATCAACGATACTGAATTTTGTTAACCTATGGCTTAGTATTACACAAATGAGTCTCACCTTTACAAGTTCACTGCACCCATTCCCATATTCTCTGTTTTACGGTCCACAAGAATACATGCTATCTTTCTAAATGTGTACTGCAGTTCTCAAATCAGATAATTTCCAACCATACCAATTTCCTGTTTCAAATTTAACAATAAAATCTACATTTTTAAAAGGGGAAATTAATCAATTAAAACAGATCATGCAAGGGAGAACATTTAGAGGCCTTCCACACAGCCCTATATCCCAGAATATCAAGGCAGGAAACCTCACATTATCTGAGTGTGGACTCAGATAACCCAGGGCCCACACAGCCCTATATCCCAGAATATCAAGGCAAGAAACCCCACATTATCTGAGTGTGGACTCAGATAACCCAGGGCCCACACAGCCCTATATCCCAGAATATCATGACAGAAAACCCCTGCTTTGAACTGGGTTATCTGAGTACACATTCAGGGCCCTTCCACACAGTCATATAATCCAGAATATCAAGGCAGAAAATTCCACAATATCTGCTTTGAATTGGGTTATCTGAATCCATCCTGCCATATATTCCAATTCAAAGCAGAAAATGTGGGATTTTATTCAGCTGTGTGGGGGCTCTTCCACACAGCCCTATATCCCAGAATATCAGGGCAGAAAATCCCACAATATCTGCTTTGAACTGGGTTATCTGAGTCCACACTCAGATAATGTGGGATTTTCAGTCTTGATATTCTGGGGGCCCTTCCACACAGCCCTATATCCCAGAATATAATGGCAGAAAATCCCACAATACCTGCTTTGAATTGGGGGCCCTTCCACACAGCCCTTTATCTCAGAATACCAAGACAGAAAATCCCACAATACCTGCTGTGAACTAGGTTATCTGAGTACACACTCAGATAATGTGGCATTTCCTGCCTTGCTATTCTAGGATATAGGGCTGTGTGGAACGGCCTTCGGATAACCCAGTTCAAAGCAGATATTGTGGGATTTTCTGCCTTGACGTTCTGGGATATAGGGCTGTGTGGAAGGGCTCTAGATTATCCGAGGGCCCTTCCATACAGCCATATATTCCAGAATATCAGCAGAAAATCCCACATTATCTAAGTGTGGATTCAGATAACCCAGATCAAAACAGGGCTGTGTGGAAGGGCCCTAGGTGTTAAGGATTGCTTATTCTAAAATAATGTGTCCACACTTGAGCAATCCTTGTTTAGTCGGGCCCTTCCACACAGTCATATAACTCAGAATATCAAGGCAGAAAATCCCAAAATATCTCCTTTGAACAGGGTTATCTGAGTCCACACGGCCATATATTCCAATTCAAAGCAGATAATGTGGGATTTTATTCATCTAGGTGGAGGGGGCCTCAGAGAAGCTGGTTTTTCTCTGGCCCCTTTTACACAGTTGTATAAAATCCAGATCATCTGCTCTGTACTAGATTATATGGAAGTGTAGACTCATATAATCCAGTTCAAAGCAGATAATGTGAATTATCTGTATTGATAACCTAGATTATATGTCATTGTAGAAGGGGCCTAAACTTTTCCTTTAGACGGCAGGCAGTTTTCTCCCCACAACAGGCACATAGGTACTTACAATCTATGGGTAAATCTTCATACACCTTGAAGTGAGCTCTTACCTTGAGTGCCCTGCCCTGTCTCAGTCAGGACCCTTCCACACAGCCATATAATTAAGAATATCAAGGCAGATAACCCACAATATCTGCTTTGAACTGAGTTATCTGAGTCCACACTGCCATATAACCCAGTTCAATATGGATTTTATACAGCTGTGTGGAAGGGGCCTGGATTATATGGCAGTGTAGATCTGGCCTCAGATAATTTAGTTCAAACCAGATAACGTGGATGACCTGCCTTGAAATTCTGGATTATATGGCAGTGTGGACTCAGATAACCCAGTCCAAAGCAGATACTGGGCCCATCAATCCAGCAGTATTTCCCAGAATATCAAGAGAGAAAATCCCACATTATCTGAGGGCCCTTTGGACCCCTCCACACAGCTCTATATCCCAGAATATCAAAGCAGAAAATCCCACATTATCTGAATAAATAAATAAAATGGACTCAGATAACCCAGTTCAAAGCAGATGTTGTGAGATGCTCTGTCTTTATATTCTGGGATATAGGGCTGTGTGGAAGAGCTCACTGTAGATTATCTACCTTGATATTCTGGGTTATATGACTATGGGCCCTTCCACACAGTCCTATATACCAACTGGGTTATCTGAGTCCACACTCAGATAATGTGGGATTATCTACCTTGATATTCTGGGATATAGGGCTGTGTGGATGGGCCCTGAGTGTGGACTCAGATAACCCAGTTCAAAGGAGACATTGTGGGATTTTCTGTCTTGATATTCTGAGATATAGGGCCCACTGTGGATTATCTACCTTGATATTCTGGGTTATATGACTATGGGCCCTTCCACACAGCCCTATATACCAACTGGGTTATCTGAGTCCACACTCAGATAATGTGGGATTATCTACCTTGATATTCTGGGATATAGGGCTGTGTGGAACGGCCCCAAGTGTAGACTCAAATAACCCAGTTCAAAGGAGATATTGTGGGATTTTCTTTCTTGATATTCTGAGATATAGGGCCCACTGTGGATTATCTACTTTGATATTCTAAATTATATGCCTATGGGCCCTTCCACACAGGTTATATCCCAGAATATCACAGCAGAAAATCCCACATTATCTGAATAAACAAACAAATAAATAAAATGGACTCAGATAACCCAGTTCAAAGCAGATATTGTGAGATGCTCTGTCTTTATATTCTGGGATATAGGGCTGTGTGGAAGGGCCCACTGTAGATTATCTACCTTGATATTCTGGATTATATGACTATGGGCCCTTCCACACAGCCCTACATCCCAACTGGGTCATCTGAGTCCATACTCAGCTAATGTGGGATTTTCTATCTTGATATTCTGAGATATAGGGTTGTGTGGAAGGGCCCACTGTAGATTATCTACCTTGATATTCTGGATTATATGACTATGGGCCCTTCCACACAGCCCTATATCCCAACTGGGTTATCTGAATCCACACTCAGATAATGTGGGGGTTTCTCCCTTGATATTCTGGGATATAGGGCTGTGTGGATGGGCCCCAAGTGTAGACCCAAATAACCCAGTTCAAAGGAGATATTGTGGGATTTTCTTTCTTGATATTCTGAGATATAGGGCCCACTGTGGATTATCTACTTTGATATTCTAAATTATATGCCTATGGGCCCTTCCACACAGGTTATATCCCAGAATATCACAGCAGAAAATCCCACATTATCTGAATAAACAAATAAATAAAATGGACCATACTCAAATATGGGATTTTCTGCCTTGATATTCTCAGATATAGGGTTGTGTGGAAGGGCCCACTGTGGATTATCTACCTTGATATTCTGGGTTATATGCCTATGGGCCCTTCCACACAGCCCTACATCCCAACTGGGTCATCTGAGTCCATACTCAGCTAATGTGGGATTTTCTATCTTGATATTCTGAGATATAGGGTTGTGTGGAAGAGCCCACTGTGGATTATCTACTTTGATATTCTGGGTTATATGACTATGGGCCCTTCCACACAGCACTATATTCCAACTGGGTTATCTGAGTCCATACTCAGATAATGTCGGATTTTCTGCCTTGATATCCCAACTGGGTTATCTGAGGCGATACTCAGATAATGTGGGATTTTCTGCCTTGATATTTTAGATATTGGGCTATGAGGAAAGGCCCACCGTGGATTATCTACTTTGATATTCTGGATTATATGCCTATGGGCCCTTCCACACAGTACTATATCCCAACTGGGTCATCTGAGTCCATACTCAGACAGGGTTGTGTGGAAGGGCCCACTGTGGATTATCTACCTTGATATTCTGGGTTATAGGACTATGGGCCCTTCCACACAGCCCTATATTCCAACTGGGTTATCTGAGGCCATACTCAGATAATGTGGGATTTTCTATCTTGATATTCTGATATATAGGGCTGTGTGGATGGGCCCTGAGTGTGGACTCAGATAACCCAGTTCAAAGGATATATTGTGGGATTTTCTGCCTTGATATTCTGGCATATAGGGCTGTGTGGAAAGGCACCCAGATTCAAGGAAACTGGAGGGAAAAATGCCGGAAGTTAAGAAAATGGGGAAGTCGAAAGCAATAAAGGAATATATAGTAATGGCAGAAGCTGGGAGACAAAAAACGGTGCATGGATGCTCCGGTGCATGGATGCAGAGAAAGCGCCAGGCATTGTTTTCTTCTGTAATTGCTTTTGCAAACTTTCGGCCTCACTCATCCTATTCTTTTTTGCCCCGGCCTACTGCCCAACAAAGCCGTTATAGTCGAGAACGGGAAAGCCCGTTTATTAGTCGTCGGAGCGGGCGGGAGAGGCCCTTGAAAGCCGAGGAGGGGGAAGCCAGGACCCCCTCCCGGTTGCCCCATCCTTCCTTCCCTCCCCACCACCACGTTCCCGACCCCGGCCAGGCCCCCACCTAAGGCCGCCCGACAGCCTGTGGTGCGGCCTTCGCAACCGGGAGGCGTAAGGCCTACCCAAGCCGGGTCCTGTCGTAGGCCTTCCCTAACACCCCCCTTGCCGTGGTCCCTGTGGAACGCCGCCTCCAGAACACACTCACCCAGGCCAAAGGAACCGAGACCTTCCACACCGAGCGGGCCAAGATGGCGGGCGGATAGCCAAGCCGGCGGCACCTACTGCCGTCTGACGTCAACACGCACGCAGGCGCCGTGCACCACGTGACCGGGGATACCGCTACGTTCTAGAGGAAGTGGGCGGGGGGAGAACATAGCGGCCTTGCAGCGGACTTCCTTCAATTGCGGCCCTCCAGCTGTTCAGGCCTCCAACTCCCAGAAGCCCTCGCCAGCTTGTACAATGGTCAGGAATTCTGGGAACTGGAGGCCCAAACCGCTTTTAGTTGTAGGGAGGGTGGCTGCAAAGGGAAAGAGTGGCTCAAACTGTCAGCTGGATTGAGAGCTGATAGAGACCACATTGTCAGCCTCTAAACCAGTGGTTCTCAACCTGTGGGTCCCCAGGTGTTTTGGCCTACAAGTCCCAGAAATCCCAGCCAGTTTAGCAGCTGTTAGGATTTCTGGGAATTGTAGGCCAAAACACCTGGGGACCCACAGGTTGAGAACCACTGCTCTAAACTAGCTGGCGGCTTCATTATGGTTTAACCCATTAGTTAATATGATACTGTGAACCTATGATACTATGAACCACCGTCTCCTCCTGAGAAAAATTTATAATATCACAAAGGACTACCACCTCACCCGCCTCATAGGAAACCTGCTACAAAACAGGAGCTTTTTTGTTGAGTTCCAGGGCCAGAGAAGCAGATGGCGGAAACAGAAGAACGGCCTGTCTCAGGGGAGCGTGCTTGCTCCATCCATGTTCAACATCTACACAAATGACCAGCCACTGGCAGAAGGGACAGAGAGTTTCATCTATGCTGATAATCGTGCCATTACTGCTCAAGCAGGGAGCTTTGACATGGTAGAACAGAAGCTTTCCGAAGCTCTAGGACAGTGGTTCCCCAGGTGTTTTGGCCTACAACTCCCAGAAATCCCAGCCAGTTTAGCAGCTGTTAGGCTTTCTGGGAGTTGAAGGCCAAAACATCTGGGGACTCACAGGTTGAGAACTTGCTCTCACTGCCTATTACAGGGAAAACCAGCTGATCCCCAACCCATCTAAAACACAGACATGTGCCTTTCATCTCAAGAACAGAGAAGCATCCCGAGCTTTGAAGATCACCTGGGAAGGAATCCCACTGGAGCATTGCAGCACACCCAAATACCTGGGAGTCACTCTGGACCGTGCTCTTACCTACAAGAAGCACTGCCTGAACATCAAGCAAAAAGTGGGTGCTAGAAACAATATCATACGAAAGCTGACTGGCACAACCTGGGGATCACAACCAGACACAGTGAAGACATCTGCCCTTGCGCTGTGCTATTCTGCTGCTGAGTATGCATGCCCAGTGTGGAACATCTCTCACCACACTAAAACAGTGGATGTGGCTCTTAATGAGGCATGCCGCATTATCACAGGGTGCCTGCGCCCTACACCATAGGAGAAATTACACTGCTTAGCCGATATTGCACCACCTGACATCTGC